TGTCACACAGTGGCCAAAACCCAGGTGCCATCAGAAGGTCCACCAGCATGGCCAGTAGTCCAGAAGCCCTCCCACTGTTGCCCCCCAAACACCAAGAATACAGGGCATCACTGTCCCAGAATGTTAACTGAGGTCAGCTACCTCTGGATTTAAACTCTCTTCTACCAGCTCCATCCCAACCCCCTGTTTCTCCCTGGGAGCTAGATCAGCAGATCTTCCTTGCCTTCCCTATTAGACTTCCTCTTTTTTCTTTTTTTTTAAAGCCATGGCAAACCACAAATGGCTATAAGGCTTCCCAAACTCTTCTGAGTTATTAGAGTCTCATAAGACTTTAACCACCATTTTGGATCACCGGTTGCCAGGGCAACCAAAATGATGGCCAAACTCTCATGAAAGGAAGGAATTTTTCTAGGACCCAGGACTTGCTATACCTAGGGTTGCCAGGCCATGCCTAGCAATTGGGAGGGGCTTGGGGGCAGGGATGGGGGGTGGGGTTGGTGTTACATATGCCACAACATCACTTTTGAGGGGGAAAACACAAGTGATGTCATGTCACTCGAGGAATTGCCAGAAACTTGTTGGTAAAACTGTAGAGTTTCCAGCAATTCCTCGAGTAATGTGACATCACTTCTGAATTTCCCCTGAAAGTGACATCTCTCTGTGCATGATGCTAGCTTTTTAAAAAAATTTCCTGCCACTGCTCTTGAGGGTTGGTTAATGGGTTGCCAGCAGGGGATCTCCTGGTGTCCACTTGGACACTGGCAACCCTAGCCCCAGAATCACTGCTACACCTTGCCATGCCCTGGCCAAGCCTAAGCCTGTCACCAACGTGCAAGCAAGGGGTGACCGTTGCCTGTGTGAGGGGACAGGAGCCACTGCTGCCACCAGAACCCAGCTGCCCAAGCTGTAGATGAGGTGAGTGTAAGTAGCTGCTACCAAGCTAGCTACCCACCTCCGTTGGGTGTTGGAGTTGTCCCCCCCCCGTAGCTGCCCTTGCTGTTCATTGGCTAAGTCTGCCCCTACATAAAGCTGTGTTATGAATGAGTCAGTACCCCACTTGCACAATGAGAAGCTTTTCTTCCAAACTTTTCTCCATGTTTTCATTAAAATCTGTGAGGTATTCAGATACTGTGACAAACAGAAGATCTGCAGGCCCGAGATGGGGCCTAGACATCTCTTGAATTACAACTGATCTCCAGACTACAGAGATCAGTTCTTCTGGAGAAAATGGCTTACTTGGAGAGTGGACTCTATGGCATTATACCCACTGAGTTCCCTCCCCTCCCCACCCTCCTCCCTCCCTAGGCTCCACCCCCAAACCTCCAGGAATTTTCCAACTTGGATTTGGAAACCCTAAGGGGTCCCCCAACATGGCACCCATTGGCACCATGTTACCTGCTGAAGCCTTTCCTGGCACCTAGCAAGTGTTTTTAGAAAGTGTACACGGTCAGGTGGAGCTTCTGATTGGCCATTGGAGATGAGATTGGCTGTGCAGATTTTTAAAAAGTTGCTTTGGCAGCAGCTGTCACTGCAGCACAAGAATCTTCCCTGCATGACTGAAACTGTGTTTATTGATTTGATTTATTAAATTAGCGTTATGCATGACCTCAACCCCTAACATTTTGTGGTTGGCTCTGCTTCCTGTGGTAGCCGTTTTGTGATTGGCTCTGCCTCTTGTGGCTGCCATCTTGTAGTTGCACCCACCAGCCCATGTCAGAACTTCAAAGGTGTCCACAGGCTCAAAAATGCTGGGAATTTCTGAGATAGGATATGAAAGACTCAGAGTACAAATTCTCACTCTGCTATGGAGGCTCATTGGGTAGCCTTGGGCCAGTCACTAGAATTGCTAGGCATGGCCTGGTAACCAGCAGGAGATGGGAGGCAGTAATTGTTTACTGCAAGAGGGTGGCAATCTTTATTGTCTCATGATAAAGTCACTTCTGGCATGACTGGGGTGACTCTCTAGTAGAAGGGAGTATAAACGCTATGTAGCCCTAAACTGCTCTAAAATAGAAACTTTATTAACAATACTATACTATCGTCTCTTTTGGACCCCCCCTTATCTTGGGTTGGCCCCGCTCGTTCTCCTGGAGGGGGAATGAGTTGCAGGGGGCTTGTTCCCCCCTCCGCGTACGGCAAATGCGGGGGTGTGGTGGTTATTGCCCTTAAGCAAGAGCAACGGACGGAGAAAGGCATGGCCGCCATGCCTTGCTTAACAGCGACGTCCATTTTAACTTTATTGCTTTCTTGATTTTGAATGTATACAGCAACATTGGGACTGTGAGTACGCATACTTCTAACTCTATTCATAGCCAAGATTTTGGATTTTGAGATAAAGTTACTCCAAGTTGGTCTGCCCAAGATAGAGGCAATTAGCGGCCAGACAAGGAATGTGGGAAAGATTGATGTCTTCTCTTTTTGATTATGGGGTCAAAAACTTCATTGATAAGGACTGACAACTAAGTTAAATGTCCTAAATGGTGATTAAAAGCTCCAAAGCAAGAGTTACATTATTTGAGCTGAAATTAATTGGACAACAAAAATGGCGCTTGCAGAGGGAACTGAGGAGGATGAGCTGGAGGATAACATGCTTGTGGGAGAATTAACTGTTGAGCAGTTTCTGAAGTTACTGAGAGATGGAATACAGAAGGGAATACAAAAAGGATTTGAAGAGGCTTGTGTGAATATAACTGAAAAACGACAGAGTATACAACCGGATAATGAAATTAAGGAAGAACCGATACAGCCCAAACAGAGTGTTAAGGAGGAACAAGTTTGCCACACCAAGGAGTCGTTTGATGAAAATCAGCCCCTCTCCAGTATAGGAGTGGAAAAGGAGACAATGAGGTCATCCTATATAAAGACAGACTTAATTAAAACGAATAAGCAGAGAAGTTCCAGCAAAGAGGGGGGGGAAGCAAAAACGGCATGCCTGGAAGTTTAAGATGGAAAATATAAGACTGGATATAATATGGCTGAGACACAGAGGGGGGGAGCCTAGAAATTAATACACACACACACAAAGAAAGAAGATATTTGGACTCATTGATACAAAAATGTAAGCTACAAATTTTCAGGGAAAAAATTAAGTTATTTGAAGAATGAAAGATTATTTCTGTTGATCTATGTTTTATTGGAATTATGAACTTAGGTCTTCTGTTATAATGAGATATGGTATTAAGACACTGAAATTGTGAAAAGTTAGATATCGTGTTATAGAGAAGGAAAGTTAGATATAGACTTATAGAGAAGGGGGGGAATTATTAACCTTGACGAAGAGTTAAATGCTATGGTTGGAAAAATGGAATCATGTTTTTTGGGGGGGTTGTTTGTTTTTCTTGTTTTTGTTATGTTGTATGTATGAAGTATTTACTAGATTATTCGTAAATAAATTAGTGGATATAGCATTGCTGAAATACAGAGGGGGAAGTTTAGAAGTTTAAAAGTTAACTGACACATAAAATAAAATTGGGATTCGTATAAAAATGTAAGCTATAAATTTTAAGGAGAAGAAATCAAGTTATTGGAAGGATGAAAGACCGGAAAACCGTGGGAGCGCAATCGGTTCCCAGCTTCGGCTCTAAAGGTACCATGGGGCTCCTTCTCCTGCGCGCGGGAATATGGCTAATAGGCCTATGGAGGGGGGGGGGGGGCATCCGAATGCCCTATATCCTATTATGCTCAATGGGTTGCCGTCATTCCTAACAGGGCCTGTGTTACTGCATCTATAGCTTTGCAATAAAAGTATAACCGTTCCTGAATGTGTGTACTTCGTTGTTAGCTGTGGGTTCTGACATCTTTTGGATGGGCTTGGGAGGGTACTCTGGGCCTTCTCAAGGGACCCAAAGTGTAGAGTGGTGGCGGTGGAAGGTGACGACCCCCTGGGGTCATGACACCTTGTTTCAAGATCTTTTTCAATCATGTCTGTTGTATCAGTCAATGTATCATATCACAAAAAGGACAATTTCACATGATTATCACGGACCCAAAAAAGGTTCACAGTCTGGTGTAGAACGATCCACATAAATGGGCTCCCAACTAGATACTATTAACAAAGGTAATAACCCTTCTAGTGACTTTCTAGTATGCACCCCAAAACTCTATAGGTTTCTGGTCACGTGCTAGAGCATCACCCCAGTTTGATGCCAACACACGCTGGAAGTGAAGTCATAATACAACAATGAAGATTGCTGCCCTACCGTTTTGCGCCCCTGCTTCAACCACTAACCAGATGAGCATCAGCCGGCATCACCAACAATTACCAGGAGTTTGCCCGCCATTAGCAGGCACCTGGTAAGCCTACCAATCACCTGCTATCAGCCTAGTGTACCTCACAGTGCTGTTATTGTGAGGATAAAGTGCAGGAGGGGAGAATGATGCTATGAGCTGCTTTGAGCCCCCATTGGGGAGAACAGTTGTGGTATTAATACTTAAATAAATAGAATCTCAGGGTGTTACCTTGCAGGGAGCTGGGCAAGTTGTGACACTGCTTCCCATGTACCATTTGTGTTGGGTCTGGGTGGTTTTGGGGAGCACAGAGAATCTCTGGGAGGCCACAGTGACATGGTCAGCTTACTGGAGGCTTCCAACTGACCTCTGTGTCTGTTGTGGGGAGGGGAAGGGAAAGGAGTTTGTAAGCCACTCTGGGACTCCTTTGGGTAATGAAGGATGGGGTATAAATCCAATCTCTTCTTCTTCTCTGCTGGAGACAGAATGCTGGACTAGGAGGCCCTTTTGCCTAAACCAGTAGATCTCACCTTAAGCAATCTTGGATGAAATTCACTGCTAGGAGAACTGGTTGCTTGCAAATCACCAAACCTCTTTATTTGCCTCTGCCAAGTAGGCTTCTGTTGCATATACCCTGCTTTCTTTTATTTTTTAGTTTATATGACTCATCAAGTTGCGAAATAACAGGAACACACACCATTTCCAGGAAACAAACATATTGCTGCTGACGCAGGGTAGACTAAGCATATTTCTAAGTTCTGGGGAAGGTTTAGCCTGCCAGAGTCTCTCCACCATGGCTACCAAGAGCCTGTTAAAGAGTCCCCAATATGAAGCAACTTGTTCCATTTGTTTGGAATATTTTAGAGAGCCCGTGACCCTCAACTGTGGGCACAATTTCTGCCACGCCTGCATAGCTCAGTACTGGGAGACTCTGGAGGCTACCGCGACCTGTCCTCAGTGCCGAAAAACGACTCAGCAAAGAAGCTTCAGGCCGAACAAGCAGATGGCGAACCTTGTCGAGATTGTCAAGCAGATGAAGGCTGCACAGGTGACACCAGCAGGGCAGGAGAGAGCCTGTGAGAGGCATCAGGAGGGTCTGAAACTCTTCTGTGAGGAAGACCAAACTCCCATTTGTCTCATCTGTCATCTGGCCCGGGAACACAGAGACCACACCGCCTTTCCCATAGAGGAAGCTGCTCAGGATTACAAGGTGGGATCTCTCTGTCTGCTTATACAGGTTTGATGTCATTTTCAGTTATAAGTGTTCTGAGGCAGCTCAGATCCAGGTTGAGTAGCCGTGTTGGTTTGAAGCAGTAGAACAAAGTTGGAGTCCAGTGGCACCTTTAAGATCAACAAAGTTTTATTCAAGGTATATGCTTTCGTGTGTGCACACACATCTTCAGATACGGTGAAACAGAAGTTCCTCAACCATTACATATAGAAAGAAAGCAGGTGTATATAATGGTTGAGAGAATTCTGTTTCACTGTATCTAATGAAGTGTGCTTGCACACAAAAGCTTATACCTTGAATAAAACTTTGTTGGTCTTAAAGGGGCCACTGGACTCAAACTGTGTTCCACTGAGGCAGTTCAGAGATAGTATATTTTTATCCCACCCTTCCTCCATAATGGCATGCCATAAATGGTTCTCATCTCCTACATTTTATCCTCCCAAAACAATCTGTGGAGTAGGATAGGCTGAGAGAGAGTGATTGATCCAAGGTCACCCAATGCGCTTTGATGACAGAGTAGGAATTTGAACCCAGGTCTTCTCAGGCCAGCACTTTAACCAATACACCACACTGGGTCACCTGATTCATTGGGATATGAGAAGCTCTTACCTTTTTTGGGGGGGGAATCCCTCATGCCACAGTGAACCACTTTGCCTGTAAAGCTGCCATCCTTCTAACAGTTTTGTTTTAACTGCAACAGGTTAAGGTATGATTCTTGCATACAAGTCACACTATGAGGCCAAAAGTCAGATATCAGATGTCTGTGGCGGGCCTTAGGGCCATGCAGTTCAGAACTGGAAATATTCAGCACATAGACTTCTAATGAAAGCATGCCAGGATGCCTAGGAAATGAACTTTATTCCCCAGACAGCTGAAGCTAGCCTGCCTGTGAAATGAGTAAACTCAAGAAAACTTTAAAGAGAATTCTTTAGCGGCATAACAGCTATTTTTTTTGTTCATCAACAAAGCACATTCATTAATGTTAATATTTATGGGCAGCATTTTAAAGGAGAGAAAAAGCTGTCCAGGTTTTTTTTAAAAAAAACTTTCTCATGTTTTTCACCATAGGATAAACTAATAGCAGAGTTTTCTTTGGTATGCTAATACAGGTGGAGTGAGGATTTCCCTAGGGACACAATGGTTTATATATTTTATTCATTCTCATCTGACTTTTCAGACAAAAACTGTCTCCCAAAGCACCTTGAATCAATTAATTTTTTTTACTGCTAATAGTGGCAGGTGCTTAGATTTACCCTGCTTTACTATGGACTATTTAAATGGTTTTAAAGACCCCTTTTTTAGATGGTATTTTTGTTACTTCTGATTCAAAGCTACAGCCTGCTCCCCCCCTCCCTGAAAACTGGGGATGTGAACATCTGTTTCCAGCACTGACATGGGTGTCGTCTGGGAAATGGTATGAAGTGACGTTCCATTCCTCCGGGCTGTGGCCTCAGTCTGTGTTGGAACCTGGATAAGCTTCTTTTGGGAGCAAGACTGCATGGTGGGGGATCAGATCCCGTGTGTGTGTTTTTTGTCCTCGGGCATAAATTAAAAGACAACAGTTTAACCAACAGGGCCAGAACAAAGTGATGAATTGTTAACAGCAGTTTATTTCCAGGTAAGGTGGACAAGGTAGTCTTCCTTGGCTGGGAAGGAAGGCAAGCAGCCTCCAAGCAGTCTTTGGTCATCTGTCCAGTAACAGAGGCCAAAGTGTCTTTCCTCTCACAATCATGGTTTCAGAGCACATGGTACCTGAAGCAGAATTCTTTTGGCTGGGGAGGAAAAAACAAGTTTCCTGCAGTCACTCCTTTGGCTGAGGCCATTTTTGTCTTTGTCCATGAGGCAGAACATCTCCACTGACCCATCGGCACTGCTCCTTCCTGCCCTCTGAGGTGTCTAGCCACCACTGGTCATCCAGTTTGTCTCTTCCTGGCCCTGCACCATTATCCCGGCTTTCCTGACTCTCAGAGGGGTTTTCTCTCCCTCTTTCAGTATGCCACTGCCACCACCTCACCTTTGTGGGAACCACCCTGTCATGATCTGGGCTGTGCCACCAGAGGCCAACTGGGCCCAGGGAGCCTGGCTAGCAGTAGGGGAGGCTGGGCCTACAAACCCCAGAAGGCCTTGGGAAGTTTTGGTGCCGATTTTGACCAATAGGGAAGAAGAGGGCTGGGGAATAAAAAAAACTAGTGCAAGAGAAAAGGCTGTTCTTCTTCCCAGGAAACAGGGCCAGAAGAAAGAGGCTGCTGTGGGGAAGAAACCCTCATCCCGAGGGAAGGGTGAGTAGTCTAAGGCCACATGAGATAGTGAGCTAGGGACAGTATATATTTAGACGCATTAGGGCATTTGATTTTTTTCACCCACTTACTGTTATTATTCCTGCACCTTGTTTGTATGTTGTTGTTCAGTCGCACAGTCGAGTCCGACTCTTCGCGACCCCATGGACCAGATCACACCAGGCCTACCTGTCTTCCGCCATCCTCTGAAGTTTGCTCAATTTCATGTTCGTTGCATCTATGACACTGTCTAACTATCTCATTCTTTGCCGTCCCCGTCTTCTTTGACCTTCAATCTTTCCCAGCATCAGGGTCTTCTCTGACACTGTCTAACCATCTCATCCTTTGCCGTCCCCGTCTTCTTTGACCTTCAATCTTTCCCAGCATCAGGGTCTTCTCCAGTGAGTGCTCCCTTCTCATTTGGTGGCCAAAGTATTTGAGCTTCAGTTTCATTATCTGGCCTTCCAGGGAACAGTCAGGGTTGATTTCTTTGAGGATTGACTGATTTGTTCTTCTTGCAGTCCAAGGGACTCTCAAGAGTCTTCTCCAGCACCATAGTTCAAAAGAATCTATTCTTCGGCGCTCGGCCTTCCTTATAGTCCAACTCTCGCAGCCATACATGACTACTGGGAATACCATTGCTTTGACCATGCGGACTTTTGTTGGCAGGGTGATGTCTCTACTTTTTATCATGCTGTTTAGGTTCGCCATCGCTTTCCTCCCAAGGAGCAGGCGTCTTTTAATTTCATGGCTGCAGTCACAGTCTGCGGTGATCTGGGATCCCAGGAACGTGAAGTCTGTCACTACTTCCACAGCTTCCCCTTCTATTTGCCAAGGAGTGATGGGGCCGGATGCCATGATCTTAGTTTTTTTGATGTTGAGCTTCAAGCCCACTTTTGCGCTCTCCTCTTTTACCCTGAGCAAGAGGCTCTTTAGGTCCTCTTCACTTTCTGCCATTAGAGTGGTATCGTCTGCATATCTGAGGTTGTTGATCTTTTCCCCAGCAATCTTAATTCCCGCTTGTGATTCATCCAGGCCAGCATTTCGCATGATGTACTCTGCATATATATTAAATAAGCAAGGTGACAATATACATCCTTGTCGTACTCCTTTTCCTATGCTAAACCAATCAGTTGTTCCATATCCGGTTCTAACTGTTGCTTCTTGGCCCTTATACAGGTTTCTCAAGAGACATGTGAGGTGGTCTGGTACTCCCATCTCTTTAAGGACCTGCCATAGTTTGTTGTGATCCACACAGTCAAAGGCTTTAGCATAGTCAATGAAGCAGAAGTAGATGTTTTTCTGGTACTCTCTTGCTTTCTCCATAATCCAGCGAATGTTGGCAATTTGATCTCTAGTTCCTCTACCTCTTCGAAACCCAGCTTGTACTTCTGGCAGTTCTCTATCCACGTACTGTTGAAGCCTAGCTTGTAGGATCTTGAGCATGACCTTGCTAGCGTGTGATATGAGTGCAATTGTGCGATAGTTTGTATGACCTCCTATAAAACAAACCTTTTCCTTGTTGTACTCTGCCTGGTCCTCACGCCTATTATTCGGCCAAAAGGGAAGTCTGAAGTTCTTGGAAGTGTGCTCTGGGCCTTCTCAAGGGATCCTAAATCCAGAGTGGTGGCAGCATCAGGTGACACCCCACCTGAGCCGTGACACACCCGCTGAGTGGACGAGGCCTTCCAGCTTCTCTACCCTGCATTGCTGTTAGCAATTCCAGTCTCTAGGGGATCCCCAAGAACCACAGTTCAGACTACAGAGATAAGTTTCCCCTGGAGAAAATGGATGCTTTGGAGGGTGGACTCTATGGCATTGTACCCTATTGAGGTCTCTATTGTTCCCAGGCTCCATCCCCAAATCCCCAGGAGTTTCCTAACTTGGATCTGGCAACCCTACACCCTCTCCCCATTGTGGCCAGGGGAGACTTGGCAACCCTAGTTCTTGTTGGCAGAGTTTAAACACACAGAGGAATAGAGCACCAACTGTTTAAAGAAAATAACTTGGTTTATTAAAGAAGAAATAACCTCTGACAGAACAGAGGAGAGGGAGAGAGGCTTAACTAACTGACTGACTGCTGTGAGAGACAGGAATGGGGAGGGCTCAGTTGGAGCAGGAAGTCTCCAAAGAGCCAATCAAGAGACAGGAAGGACATAATTTGAAATTGTGGGAAGCAGTGTTCCCTCTAAGCTGAGTTAGTGTGAGCTAGCTCACAGTTTTTTAGCCTCCGGCTCACAGACTTTTGACTTAGCTCAGGAAGAGGGGCTCCAGAGCAAACGGATTTATGCAGTAGCCAAATTGCTCCCTCACAACTTTAATGCCAGTAGCTCACAAAGTAGAATTTTTGCTCACAAGAATCCACAGTTTAGAGGGAGCATTGGTGGGAAGTCCCTAATCTAGCTATGTCAACTAGCAGTCCTTCCACTGTTCCCTGTAGGCTGTTCTTCTGATCATTTTCAAGTAGGTGCACTGTAGACCTTGTATATTCCAACAGTTCTAAGGCCCTGGCTCATGCCTGCATCTCCAACTACCCAGTGTCTCGTTACCACAGGGACAGTTTACTGCACTTGTGTACCACTGGGGGATTAGTAATCTGCCCCCCTTCTCCTGATGCCCGTTGAAAGTAGCATGTTTGAATGGTGGAGATGTATTTATTTATTTATTTATAAACCACCCTGGTCTGAATACACAGAGCGCAAGGTGGTGAACAACAGTAAAAGCAGCCATCTCTCTTATATATAAAGCTCATTTCGTGTGAGACTCGCCTGAACGTTCCACACGCCTCTCTAGCCATTGGGTCCATGACCTGTCGCTCAGCCAGGGGGGGGGGCAATCCCATGCCTGGATTGCCTCCCTCCGCCGCCTCAGCCCCACCCACAGAACCACCAAGCAGCCTTTTGCCCTCAGTCTGCACTCTGCACGGGGCAGCAGGCAGGACGGATGCTCCGCCACTGGGGCGTGAGTGAGCCAGGGGGGCAGTGGTGCCCCATTCCCTCGCCCTGCCACCATGGCATCAGGGGGGGCGGGGGGACCATGGGACAATTCTCCCACCACCACACGAGACCTCCACCGCCCCCCGTCTCACCTTTCCCTGCTCCGCCACGAGGAAACTGACTCGCGGCCACGTCCCAGCCGGGTGGGGGCTGAAAAGCCCCCACTTCACTCGCCTCTCTTCCGGCAACCCCCCTGACCACCGCCGACCCATCTCCACCCGCCCCCCTGCCCTTGCCTTCTGCGGCCACTCGGGAGCCTCCCAGAGGGCCGGGTGGCATTGGGCCTCTCCGCCAGTAGTCCGCTGGGCGCCTTGGCCTGCCGGTTCCTCCGGCACCCGGGGGGAGTCAGGCCGGCCACCTTGGCCCACCAATGGCTTCATCCTGGCGTGGAGGGGCCGCGCCTGGCCTCTTCCACCAGTGGGGGCCTCGAGCACACCGACCATGCAGGGCGCCGGGCGCCCAGTTGCAGGAGGGCCGCGGCTGGTTGCCTTGCCCTGCCATGGCCTCGGGCTGACGGCGGGGCCACACACCTTCGCTTCCTCACTGCTCAGCCACCCCGGGTGGGCAGCTGCCCACCGCCCACACTAGCGCTCGCTGTCTCCTGCTACAGAGGGCCTTCTTCCTAGTACATTGATAAAAACAATTCCAACAAATAAATAAAAATAGTTAAAACATTCTTAGATGGCACTGAAACGTCAAAGTTCCGAAATTGTTTCACTGTCTTGTGGGAGAGAAGTGTTTGTGTGTGGGAGGGCAGTGCCAGACAGGATGGTCGCCGTCACTGTCCTCAACCGAAAGCCTGGAGGAAAATCTCTGCCTTGCAAGCCCTGAGGAACCGCACAAGGTCCCGCAGGGTGTGGATTTTATTTGGCAGAGAGTTCTACCAGGTGGGAGCCAGGGCCGAAAATGCCCTGGCCCTGGTTGAGAACAGTTGGATGTCTTTTGGGCTGGAGAACAACAGAGAACAACTACCAGCATTAAAAAATGTAAAACATTTCTTAAAAAGACAATGTCCACACATGTACTCTCCACACACCAACAGAATCCAAAAGAAAGGTGTAAATTGCAGTTCCTCTGCCCCTTACTTTGTACCTGAGTGACACTAAAGAACAATCAACATGACAATTCCCCTCCTGCTGCCAAGGGGGAGGGGGGAGACCTTTTGAAGCTGAAGGTTTTGTCCAGTCCAAATCTCCAAAGTAAAACACATTTCTCTAAAGTCCCAAGGCCAAGAAAATCTGGTTCTGAAATTCTTTGTAAAATGTAGACAAGGGTTATGTAGAGGAAGCTCAGGGGTTCAAATGATAATCTATTGATTATTGCTGGGATTCCAGAGGTCCTTTGGGAACGGACTTTGGGATTTTCCAGGAGTTAGTGGCAAATCATTAAACACTAAGCAGAATTGTAGAAAAAATTGTATATCAAATTTAATTGACAGAAGAGGAATTTTCTAATGAGCAGGTGTTCCAACATCAGTAAACTTTTTAATTAGGATGGTACCATTCACCACCTAACGAGCTGTCATAGTGATCTATGTTTAAGCTCTCTACTCCAAAGAACTATGAGTTCAAAAGTTTATAATGGATGAACTTTAAATAAGGAAAAATCAAACTAAGCTTCTCTTTCTTTAAGTTTAGAATGCTTTGACATATAAATATTGAACTATTGGAATCTATAAGCAATATACCTGCCTTTTAGCAAGTTATTATTTTAAGGCAAAAGAACACAGTGAAAGGAACTGTGCTTAAGACTGGCAAACTGCTAATAAGCAAGAACTTGAGAAATGGCCAAACATTTCCAGAAGCTAATGAGGTAGGAGATATTTATCATGCACACCTGTCAATTAAGAAAGACTAATTAAAATGCAGAACTTATATATTATATGAGAAGGACCCCTACTAGCCAAAGTAAAACAGCATATTTTACAAAACCAGAAACTTTTTGCTGAATTTTATAAAGTATTAAATCTAAATTACTTTACAAAATTCAGCAAAAATCTTCTGATGGATTTAAATGAAGACTAATAGATGGATTCAATGTATCTTCAGAAGCTTTAGGCCATAGGCTATTTTGAAACATTAGAAAATGCATGTAAAGGGTTTAATTCTTTGAAGTATCATTATAACCTTGTATGTTTTCTGTATTTTCATATACTTTTAATAGAAATAGTTCACAGAATTGCTATTAAGAGTGTTTTCATACACATATATGCATGTAATAATGTAACCATTTTTGTAATGGGAACAGTTAGATTTTGTACTGAGAATGAACTCAGCCTGAAAGTTCATTCAAAGTTGAAGTAAGTCTGGGGAGACAGCCAGTAAGCTGCATTAATCATTTTTAATGAGATGAGCACCTGCATTGTAAGGCTGAAACATGGCCAGGTAGCCTCTTGTTTGTCAAATGTATAGTTAATAATTGGTAAGACAAAGAGACTCAAACTGGTCATGTGCAAATGATGTCAACAATGATGTAAAGTTGGGAGGAGCAAGAAAAGTATATAAGAACCCTGCTGTTACTCACTGGACATCTGAGCTGAATGTTTGACTGTATGGTATCCCTTATTCAAATAAAACTTTTTCTACCCTTTACTGCCTGGAATTGTCTGTGTCACTGTGTGGTTTATTGGCTCGCCATACAAGTCAAGGAACCTTAGTGTCCTCAGGTTGTTGCCTTCAGCTATGACCTGCTAACCTTGGAATCTCAGTTTCCTAACACCTTCTTTACTGTCTCAGGGAAAAATTCAAATTCATGTGAGTGTCCTAAAGGAAGAGAAAACAGAACTGGAGAAACTTCATACAGCTGGGGAGAGAAAATGCGAGAAGAATATTGTGAGTTACATTTGCTAGCAAAGGCACTGGATTATTGTCCTATATTATTATAGAGTATGGTATCACAGTCCCTGATCTGGCTAGCCCAGGCTTAAAGAAAGACTAATAACATTTTATTCCAGAATAAGATGTTATGGACTATTACTGGATCCTCACTATGCAGTCATATTATATAAGAGGTTGAGGGGGGAAAGAGACAGCAGGATCAAGGGGCAGGAAGTACAGTGAAATGTGATTGTTTAAAATTCATATTTAATCAAGAAAAATACAGAGACCAAGCTAGTTAACCCCTGTAATAAGTGTGGATCCTCATGTTTTCTGAGGACAGGGCTGCCAGCTCCAAGCTGGGAAATTCCTAAATATTTGGAGGGTGGAGCCAAGGGTGGGACCTCAGGAGGGTATGATGCCATTGAGTATCTTTCAGAGCAGCCATTTCCCCCAGGGGGGCTGATCTCTATAGCCTGCATATCAGTCAGAATTCTGGGAGATATTCAGGCACCATCTGGAAGTTGGCAGCCCTATCTGATAGTGAGATCAAAATCCTAAAAACCACTTCACCCCAGGGGGGAGGAGTGTGAAACCTCTGATTAAATCTTAAATCAATCCTTTCCCACTGGAGTTTCCCTTTGATGATCTTTTGTTAAGGATGGTGACTTTGACATCAGAAACAGAGGTTCCCAGTAGACTGAAATGTTCTCGCATTGATTTCCGATTTTGCCTTCCTTCCTTCCTTCCTCTTTTTATTTACTTTATTTATACCCTCCTTTCTCTCCAATGAACACATGAAGCTGCCTTATACTATATCAGAGCCTTGGCCCATCAAGGTCAACACTGCAGCAACTCTCTATAGTCACAGGCTATCATCTTTACCTTCACCTGCTACCTGATCTTTTTAACTAGAGATGCTGGGAATTTAACCTGGAATGTTCTGCATGCCAAGCAATTTACCAAATGCTGTGTCACTGAACTCAGTGACTCAGTGGAGATTCAAACCTGGATCTTCCAGGTCCCAGACCGGCACTGTAACCACTTTATCATGTTGTCTTGGAGTCTTGGAGTCAGATATCAGATTTGCATCTATCAGTTCTGTTATGATTTCTACTACACATGAACAATATTCAGAATGCTGAAAGATGTGAATTTGTAAAAATGCCTCCACCTTGTCTCTGATTCTGATACTGTTTCCCTTTATCCCAGAAAAAGATAGAGGCTGAGAAACAGAAGGCTGTGTCTGCATTTCAAGAGCTGAGGTGCTTTCTAGAGGAACAAGAGCAGCTCATCTTTGCCCAGCTAGAGCAGCTGAAGGAAAAGTTTGTCAAAATGAGGGATGAAACGCTCACAAAACTCTCTACGGAGGTCTCCCGTCTTGCTACACTGATTGCTGAAATGGAGGAGAAGTGTCAACAACCAGCCATTGAATTCTTGGAAGTAAGGCTAGGCACTGATTCACACATCTGCACTCATCACCTGCCTGTCACATTAAGTACTGACTTGCACATGTGAATGACGCATCACAGATCTTGCTCTGCAGATAGAATTTTCATATCACTTGATGTCATCATGTGCAGAAGTTTTCAGAGTAGACAGTCCATTCAGCTGCTAGTCAAAGACTGAATACGTTGCTAATGCATGCCAAGGTACTGCTGATGTGGCACGCACCACTAAATATCCTATGTTACAGAGATGATAACAACCCTTCTGTAATCTACCAATTTTATTTACTCATTTAGATTTCTTAACCGCCCTTCCCTGCTAAAGTGGGGCTCAGGGCAGTTTACAACCAATGCTCCCTCTAAGCTGTGGAGTCTTGTGAGCAAAAATTCTACTTTATGAGCTCCTGGCATTAAAGTTGTGAGCGAGTGATTTGGCCGCTGCATAAATTAGTTTGTTCTGGAGCCATCCTTCCTGAGCTGAGACAAAAATGTGTGAGCCGGAGACTAAAAAACTGTGAGCTAGCTCACACTAACTCAGCTTAGAGGGAACACTGTTTACAACAACATAAATTCAGTACAATTTTAAAATAAATTAAAACTATAAAATGTCAGTATTAAAACATTCAGCATAAATATTTAAACACTTTAAAAACAAGATGGCATATCTGGCATTCAGATTTTCATAGAGGGGGAGGGCAGGTAGATGTAAGACAGCCATCGCTCGCCTCAACCAAAGGCCTGGCAGAACATCTCTGCCTCGCATGCCCTGTGGAACTTTAATAGATCAGACAGGGCACAGATGTCTTTTGGCAGAGAGTTCCACCAGGCTGGGGCCAAGGCTGAGAAAGCCCTGGCCCTGGTCGAGGCCAGCCGGATATCTTTGGGGCTGGGAATCACCAGGAGATTCTTATCTGCTGATCTCAATGCCCTTCGGGGGACATATCGGGAGAGGCGGTCCCGAAGGTATGTAGGTCCCTGACTGTTAAGGGTTTAAAGGTAAGCACCAAAACCTTGAATCTGATCCGGTGCTCCACTGGCAGCCAGTGCAGCTTGCTGATACTGCCTGTGACAGGAAGTTGGGGATCAGTGTATGCCCGTTAGTATATGCTGACATAGCCATGCCCCCCACCCCATGTCAGCCAGTTGCCCTCCACACACGCACAATACAACAAGGGAGCGAGCATAAGGAATATAGCATTCTGGAACGAGGACTGTGGCATGACCTGGAGGAATCTTGAAACAAGGACATGCCAGGGAAAACATACAAATGTGAGTTTGAGTGCCCTCTTGCAACCATGTTCCTTTTTGACATGGGCTTGTGCAAAGGGAGGACACATGGCCACTCCAGCTACAGGGCCACAATGCCTCTGCAACTCACACAGCGGAGGCAACCCTGATAAAGCACCTAAAATCTCCCATGCCTGAGTGAGGATGCAAACATTAAGGCAGCAACGAGAAAGCATGCGATTGAAACTGAATATATTTATCAGTCCCTCAACCCTGCCCATGGGTTGGAGTCATGAGTTCAGATGCCACCCAAAAGAAAACTGGTATGAAGGCAAACCTCAACTTTTGTACAATAAAAAGAGGAGGCCAGACTAAAATCTACATCGGGGCATCTGGACTAGCGGGGCTGCCTACCCGCACTAGTATCCCACCTTCATCACCAATTGTTAAGTAGGGTTGCCAAATCTTGAAAACAGACCAGCGGGGGAGCGTCCTGCCGGTCCGGGAGCCGATCGTGTGCGTGCGTGCGCGCAAAGCGCTCTTCCGGGTGATGCGCACGCCGGGGCGGAGTTCCCCCCGGGCCCGGATTCCCCGGCGTCGGGTAACGGGCCTCCGGGGCGGGGGGAATTCCGCCCTACCGGGGGGGTTGGCAGCCCTATTGTTAAGTCATGAGCTAACAAATAGTTGGAGAGTGATTTCAGCAAGAATGCAGCTTTTATTCTTCAACTTCAATACTTCTCCAACACAGTACAACATCAGTCAGCCAGAAAAGCTTTTGCATTGTAGCTGCTCTCTATTTAAACATTCCCGGCTAATGTAGCCACGCCTACTGTACAATTACCAACCTATCAGGTTGAACAGATAACGACCAATCACAAGCGCTCCCGCTCTGTGAAGTGATTGGATGACACATCCTGGGCTAGTGCTCCTATTGGTTACATTAGGATCCTAGCCCAGGCCGAAGCTTTACATTATAGTTCAATGGGATGTTTCACATACATCAAGTTCCATACAGTTCATGCATTCAAGTGTCTTTGAATACACAACACACGCACTCAAGAGGAGTCCTCTAACCACATACTCAACTGGGCACACAGGAACAAGACACAGCATGCCCCTTCCACTTATACCAGGGCAGGGCCTTGCAGAAAGGCATAGCACAGTGGGAAGGCATAGGTATAGCATACTCATGTCGGTTAAAACAAAGCAAGTTCTGGGGTTACCAATATGCCTTTCCATCACAGCTGGTCCAAATCAGCAAACCAGTTAAGATGGGACTTGTCATGCAACCCTAAACCAAGCACACCCATCTAAGTCCACTGAAGGGCATAACTCTGTTGAGACTTACAGTGATCATATCACCACTTTGCTGCAATTTGTCTGAAGTTGAAATACCTTGCTTGAATTTTACTTCTGAGTAAACATACATAGTGTATGAAGCATAACTGAGTAATCCATCATAACAGGTTCACAGGTAAAGTGTTTCTGGAACTTTGCTAAGCCCCCTTCATCATGGGTATGTAGGGTTGCCATCCTCCAGGTGGGGCCTAAAGATTTCCTGGAATTACAGATGATCTCCAGATGAGAGAGAACAGGTCCCCGGGAGAAAATGGCTGCTTTGCAGGGTAGAATCTACATCATCATATGCCTCTGAAGTCCCTCCCTTCCCCAAACCATGCCCTCCCCAGGCTCCATCCCCAAACCCCCAGGAATGTCTGAATCTGGAGCTGGCAACCCTAATTTTAATGGGAATTTATTTTTCCACATACTGTTTGTCCCTAAAGCACTATTGGCAAGGATTATGTAGAGGAAAAAAGTGATACTTTGCGTGTCTGAACCAGGCCTTAGACAATCAGAATTAAGGAACAAATTCAGTGGACTTTAACAAAACATAAGTCAATAAACAGATATCGCAGAAAAAATGTGGCTAATAAAATTCACTCTATATCTAGGAGGAATGAAGAAAGAGAATTTTAGGTCCACCATCAGGTATAATCCGAACAACTGACTGGGCCTGAGGCATGTGGCCATATGATATTGTATTGGGGCATGAACGTTCCATAAGAAGATCATTAAAAATATGTTATCAGATCTAACATAGTGTTAATTGGACACAAAAAACACTAATGGCCATTTAATGAATCATTAATAATTGTTTATTTGTAAGATTATGAACTTAACCATTAACATTTGCTCAGCACCTCTTCCCATCAAAACCTCAGGTTCCCTCTCTGCATATGTACCAGACTTTGTTTTCCATTCTAAGGTCACTGCAACTCATGTAGACATAGATCCACATTGTAATAATTTTTGACTTGCTATTTTACTGATAACATGTATTTGGATTGGGATAACATTGACTCATCCAATGATTATTTTGAATTAAATGGTCTTTAGGAATCACAAAAATATGGTTTTGGCTAGCAACCCTGAACTGTTTGCTTTCTGTTTTTCTTCTCCATAGGACATCAGAAGCACCTTGAACAAGTATGTTTCTTTTTCTTTCAAATATCTTAATGGATTTCAGACTGAAGAGAAGGGGCAGTTGTACCTCCACCAAGGATAAGCAGCACTGGCTTAGCTTTAGGGTTGCCAGCCTCCCCCCATCAGTGGGGAGGGCAGGGACCTCAGTGGGGTACACTGCCATAGAGTCCACCCTCCAAAGCATCCATTTTATCCAGGGCAACTGAGCTCTGCAGTCTGAAGATGAGCTGTAAATCCAGGGGATGCCTAGGTCACACCTGGGGGGGGGCTAGCATCCCTACTAGCAGGGGTCTTTTGGGGCCGGAGCGTGCCAGAGCACCGCTCTGGCAGCCCAGGAGCCAGCACAAATAATTGCGGCGGCAAGCTTCGCCCCCGGCTCCCCACACCAAAGTGCTGGGGCCAGGGAGAGGCACGGAGAGCCTAAGTGGGAGGGCAGGAAAAATACAAGTGCAGAGATGGATCTGGGATAATATTACTGGAAGGAGTGGGCAGGGGAATACAAGAGTTCATGATTTTGTTTTTGTCCCAGGGGTTTTAAAATTCATACTTTCCTTTATTATGTTTGCTTGTTTGTACAACAATCTTCCCAAAGGTGTCAACAAGGAGAATTTCAGAAGCCAGCAGATATTTCTCCTGAGCTAGAAAATAGTCTTGTTAACTTGACTGAAAAGAATACTGTTCTAACCAAGGCTTTAAAAAAATATAAAGGTAGGAAAGAAGAGAAGAGTCATTGGATACTCTTCTAATTTTTTTCCTTGTTTGGGGGTATCTTGAATATAATGGTGGTGTGTGTTTTCAAGCAGAAAATTCCCATTTTTTTAAAACGGAAACATGTTTGTAATGGTTTAAGTTCACTAACCCAAATGTTTCATTTATTTTTAAATGTCTTGAAGTGATATTTCATTATTTTGTACATTTGAGTACTGGGGATGTAGCCAGAAATTTTTTTGGGGGGGGGGGGAATAATTTAATTAATGGACCATCCCCAAGTCACACTGTTTTTAAATATCCTGTGATAACCCATTAATTTCCCAACCTATAAAGCAAAACTATTTTAAACCAAAAAATTGAGGAGATTGGTCAAGTCTTTTCTCTCTTGCACCTGTTTCCTTTATCAGGTCTTCTGTCATCTGAACTGAAGAAACAAAATGATCCTGATGTTTATGAGACAGGTAGGATTTATGGCTATCTCTCCTAACCCCTGGCCTGGATAGCCCAGGCTAGCCCGATCTCGTCAGATCTTGGAAGCTAAGCAGGGTTGCCTCCAGCTAATATTTGGATGGGAGACCTTCAAGGAATACCAGGAATCTGACGTGGAGGCAGGCAATGGCAAACCACCTCTGAAACATCTCTTGCCTTAAGAACCCTTTGGGGTTGCCATTTGTCAGCTGTGACTTGATGGCACTTTCCATCTCCACAATCTACCTTGACCTCTGTGTTGTGGTGCAGGACTTTCTGTCTAAAAATTGCTCCACCTATCATTATGTTGTATAAGTAAAGGTGGTTTGATACTAGTCACGAGTTGTGCAATTACTATCTATTTCCATTTATTAACTATCCATTTCCATTTGTTAATGGTCTCACAGATCGATTGGTCATAAGCAAATAGAGAAAAGATACACATTACTATTATTCGTAAACAGAGTTATGATAATGGTTCCAAATGACCTCATCACTTATCCTGTTCCCAATTTTTTCAAGGAACCTACTTGCTACTCATACATGTATGGACAGTCTTTGCACAACTATTTTGCATGTCTTCATAAGTTTTAGAACATGTGGTTTGGAGTACACCTGCAAATATGTGCCCCAAAGCTATAGAAACCCAGTGGAATGCACAACAACACTGTGTATTTTCCAAAGGGAAACAGCAGGTGGAGATGAAGAAGAATCAATTTTGCTGATGTCAGTGAACAGAGAGGGAAATGGATATATGATCATAATGGAACAAAACCAACTATATGGAAGGCAAAAAACAGGAGGTGCATGATTTCAGTGGCACAATATCCACCAGTGGGTGAATCCTCCACTGCAAGCAGCCAAGGGTGGTCTTAGCCCTAGGGAGGGATGCAGCCTCCAGGTGAAACCTAGGGATCCCTTGGAATTACAGCTCATCTCTAGACTACAGGGATCAGTTGTTCCCATTGAGAACATGGATGCTTTGGAGGGTGGACTCGGTGGTATTGTACCCCACTGAGGTCCCTGTCCTCCCCAGGCTCCATCCCCAAATCTCCAGGAACTTCCCAACCTAGAGCTGGCAACCCTCCCCCCCCCCCCGCCAGTAACCAGAGGGGATCTGGCAACCCTAACCATGGGTCATCTGGGGTTCCTGTTCCAGGCTCCGCACTGCCTTGCAGCCAGCTACTCCCATCCCTGCTTTGATTCCCCTGCCCACCGAGGTGGTGGTGGGTTTCCTCAGCTGACAGCTAGAGGTTGGGGGGGGGGGCTTGCCTTCCCATTGCCTTACAGCTGGTCACCCAAGCTATAAAGTTGTGGGGGGGGGAGGGCATGAACCAGCAGCCTGAGAATACCTTCTGGAGTGGGGATTGGGGAGGAGGGCATTTGCCTTGCTCAAACAAGCCTATGCCACGCAGGGAGGAAAGTACTTGCCTGGTTTGAAGACCCCTGCACAGGTTGGAAAGCACCCACCTAGATGCACCCCACACCATGCATGGAGGAAGACACTAGACTGGACAAATCACCTGTGACTGATGCGGCTGGTTGGCTCTTTCTCTCCCTCCCTCCTCTGGAGTGGTGGGTAGACCTCCCTACCATGGATCCTCTATGCTGCCTCAGTGTCAGACAGCGGAGGGGCAATCAGCTGTGGAGAAGCTAACTTCCTAAATACATTGACTGAAGATACTAACAGCATAAATATTAAGTTTTTGAAGCATTGGCAAATTCAGTTCAAAGTTAAGCAGCATATTCCAAAGTGGATGCCATGATAAGGTAACACAGCAAAAACTAAAGACATGGTTACCAAAAAAAAAAGTCAAAGGTAAAAAGGAAGTTAAGGCCTATCAGAATAGTCTACATTTATTCAGGGATACCAGCCTCCAGGTATAGCCTGGGGATCTCCTGGGATTTCAGCTCCTCTCCAGACTACAGAGATCAGTTCCCTTGGAGAAAATAGATGCTTTGGAGGGTGGACTCTATGACATTATACTGCATGGAGGCCCCTGTCCTACCCAGGCTCCACCACCAAATCTTCCTGAGTTTCCCAACCTTGAGCTGGCAGCCATAACCCTCCTCCTTGCCAGTGGCCGGAGAGGACCTGCCAACCCTACAGAGGAAACTTTTAGTCTACTGGTCTGCTGATCTCCTTCAACCAATCAGAATACTATCTGGAGGGAGCTTTCTAGAAGATGAGCAACCCCCAACTCTCACAACTATGATCAGTGAGTTGATTAGCAGGACTGTTGAATGGTTGTGAAATTACCTGGTTGCTCTCATCACTTGCTGACACTTGGTATTTATGGTTCTGAGAGTGGGGTGGGAGGAAATCTTGGACATGGAATTTTACTCAAAGAATACACTTTTCCCTTGATAGCCACATTCTCAAGTTTTGCCCAGGGCCCCAGAATCACTAAGACTGTCCATACATGCGACTAATATCAGAAAAGCAGTTGATTGTTTGCAAAGAATAACCTGATGTGGAACTATCCCAAGTGTCAGGTACACTGATAAAAAAATGCTTGAGAAATAAAGAATTCCAAAGGACTTAAGATCATGAGCCAAGCTACATGCCACAAAAGTCTTCAGCTCCACTAGTAAATCTGGCAAGGGAAAAGCTCTTTCCAGTTACTAAATATGGGCGCTTAAGCTCCTGTTAATCAAGGTATCCCAAAGAAATGTGATTTTGCACCACTCTATACCTGTCAAAATTCCGAGTCTAATTATGGCTGCTCCTGATGCTTAGAAGAAAAAGAGAAGAGATTGGATTTATACCCCACTCTTCACTTGGAGTCCCAGAGCAGTTTACAAACTCCTTTCCCTTCCCCTCCCCACAAGAGACATGCTGTGGGGTAGGTGGACTGAGAGAGCTCTTGACAGAAACTGCTCTTTTCCAAGAACAGCTCTTGACAGAACTATGGCTTCCCCAAGGCCATCCAGCAGCTGAAGTGGAGTGGGGAATCAAACCTGGTTCTCCCAGATTAGAGTCCGTGCACTTAACCACTACACCAAACTGGCTTACAGAAAAGGAGAATGAGGGGGAAAGCAAGCAAGATCATAGATGCAGGAAGAAGGCCTTTTATTTATTCACTTAGAAAATGTGTATACCATGTCTCTGGATCCACCGGAACAAGCTACAAATATAAATAGCATTCTGCAGACTCACGTAACGGGGCTGTGCAGCACCCAAGCTGTGGCCATGTCTGTTTTTGTGGGCCCCAGCCACAGTATAATCACACCATTTTTATATTGGTTTAACTGTCATAGCTTCCCTCAGAGAATATTAGCAATTTAGCTTACTAAGGAGCTGAGAATATTAGAGATCCTCAGTCACCCTTCTCTACCATAACTACACTTCCCAGAATTCCCTACCAAGTGGAATTGGCTGGTTTCCTGTAGTGTAGCTATCTCCCTGGTGTAGGTCAGGTTGCCTGCATCTGGCCTCTGGACCCCACCCCGGGAAGGATTGGGGTTGCCCAGCTCATACTTGGCTAGTGATGACAATGGGAGCAGGTTTGTCTGATACCTCCTCACATGATGCCGCTTAGGGTTGCCACCTCTGATTGGGAAATACCTGGAGATTTTGAGGGTGGAGCCTGAGGAGGGTGGAGTTTGGGGAGGGGAGGGACTTCAATGGGTTATAATGCCATAGAATCTACCCTCCAAAGTGGTCATATTCTCCAGGGGAGCTGGTCTCTATTGTCTGGAGATATTTATTTATTTATTGAATAATGCCATAAATAATGCCATAGAATCTACCTTCCAAAGTGGTGATATTCTCCAGGGGAACTGGTCTCTATTGTCTGGAGATCAGTTGTAACCACAGGAGATCTCCAGCCACCACCTGGAGCCTGGTAAGGTAACCCTACGCTGGCTGGGTCAGACCCAAACGTCCCCTGCACAAGGCCTCTCATCTTGGACCCAGACAATGACAACAGCTGCCATCTTGTCCATCACTTTTCCCCAGACCACCCTCAGCTAGGTCTGAGCTAAGCCATTGGTAAAAAAATAAGGCCAAGGCCAGTGGTGCAAAATCAAGTACAAATATGTTATACTAGGAAAAAGCCCCGTTGTGGAAATAAATACAACGATCTCTAGAAAGAGGCTCTGGGCGGGTGCCCCGGCCTTGGACACTCAGTGTCAATTTGCTGTGGCGACCTCAGAAGGGTATAATGACACTGAGTCCACCATTTTCTCCAGAGGAACTGATCTCTGCTACCTAAAGAACAGTTGTAATTTTGAGTGATCTCCAGCCCTCACCTGGAGTTTGGCAACGATGTTTCCCCAGAAGGGAATGGTTGGTTTGGAGGGTGGAGTCTATGGCTTTGTACCTGTCCGAGGTCCCACACCTCCTGAAACCTCACCCTCTCCAGGCTCCATCCCTCACATCTCCAGGGATTTCCCACCTGGAGTTGGCAACCCTATCTCCTTCCCAGCCAATTATCATCCTACCTTTATTTCCCCTTCACTCTTCAGCTTTCCACCCCCCCACACACCTGCAGCCTCTCCCGTGTTCTGAAGCCCTGACTGCTATATCACATTGGCTGTCATACGGGGGCCACCTCAGCAGCATATAAGGATACAGAGGCCACCATTTTCTCCAGGGGAACTGATCTCTGCCATCTGGAAAGCAGTTGTAATTCTGAGTGATCTCCAGCCCTCACCTGGAGATTGGACACATTTTACCTCAGAACAGCAAACTGTTTAGAATGTTAGAGGCAAAAGCCAATCAAGTCGCATATGCAAACGACCTCTGTGTTTCGAGGCAAAGGCCAATGAGGCTGCATATGCAAATAACCTCTGTGTTCTGACTGGCTGTGGGGGTGGGGGAGGAACAGCAAACCTGTTTAGAATGTTGAAGGCAAGACTCAAGCAATGCAGCCAGTGGATAGGGACAGATTCTGGGTTACACACCAGGGCGCCAACCAATTCCGGAGCGTGTGGAATGTTCTAGAGAAGTGCCACCACCATTCGGCTTTTATATATAAGAGAGATTACTCCGTTAAATTCCTCAAAATTCCCTGTGTGTTTCACCAACAGGCTTTGTCAGGGGAATCTGTAATATATAACAACAATACCAAGTTTACATAAGTTTAGTTAAAATGATATAAATATTGTATTAAAAGTTCCAGGTCCTAAAAAGTCAGTCACATACAACATCTCTAGAGCTTATTCTGTCCTTGAGACTGCCTCAGGAAGAGAAACTCCTTGTAAAGAACAGAGATGATAAGGCTGTCCAGCACCCAACAGGTTTTGGCTCAAAATTAAAGAAATCTTTTTTTCTATGCCTAAATGAATGCTTCCAAACTGTTCGTCTTTCAGTAGTTCTTCAAAAAGAGTCAAACATTCAGTAGGTAACTGTCACTGGAAGAACTTTACTATATCCTGGCATCCAGTTGAGGTAATATCTCCCCCCTTTTTTTACAGAAGCTGATGCAATTCTAAAGACACATTTAACCCTTTAGGTGTCAGTCACAACTTCCACACTGTAATTTTTGTCACTCATTTGTCCCTATTGCTTCAGGGTCCCCGTCCCCCCCAATGTGTTTTTCTCTATCTAGTAGTCCCAGAGGGAGCAAAACACACGTGGAAGGGGGGGGGGGAAGAGAGACTCAAAGTAATAGGGACAAACGAGTGACAAAAATGACAGCGCAGAAGTGGCCACACAGTTCCAGCCTGCTTCTTTTTTCAGCAGCAGCCTTTCACTTTTTACAGATTAATTTCTGCACAGCCCAAAAAAATAAAACCAGAGAGACCATTTTCAATGAAGTGTTTAGCCAGTGGGGCACTTGTTCTTTTCAACTTTACATTTACTTGCTATGCATTATTGGCCTTATTTTTTAACTCCTGTGACTGGTGCGGCTCTTTATCTTCTGAGCCAAGCAGCCTTGCATGTGGCTGCTGCCCACCAGATCTCAGCCAAGTGGCCCCTACAGCACTCTCAGCTCCACTGGAGCTCCACTTAGTTCACTCCTGGCAATCAGCGGCTCTTCAGGGCAGTGTTCCCCACTTCCCCTGGAACCTTTCCCAATCAGTCTGCCCTCAGCACCATCTCTTCTCCTGTACATCTCTTAATGCTTCTTGTCTGTGTTCCTGTATTACTTGCTGTACAAGCGGTAACACACTCAATTCTCTCTTCCCAGTGAAGGTGACTCTGGATCCAGAAACAGCCAGTCCTTTCCTCATCCTGTCTCCAGATTTGGAACGTGTGCAACTAGGGGTTACACAAAGAATTCTGCCCCCAAGTTCCAAGAGATTTGAACACTACCATTGTGTGCTGGGCAATGATGGAGTCACCTCAGGCAGAATTACCTTTGTGGTGGATGTGAGATTCAAATGGGGCTGGGCAGTTGGAGTTGCCAAAGAATCTGTAAACAGAAAGCAAAGAGTTACTCTTAAGCCAGAGGAGGGGGTATGGGCCCTCAGGTTTGCCAACGGAAAATACCAAGCCCTCACTTCACCTCGCACTAACTTGCCTCTGGCACAGAAGCCCAGGAAAATTAGAGTTTTCCTTGACTATGAAAGGGGAAAAGTGGTCTTTTGTGACGAGTCAGATACTGAAATTTACTGTTTCAAAACTTCTTTCAATGAGAAAATCTTCCCTTTCTGCCAGATCACTCATTTGAAAGCCCACCTTAGGTTCTGTTTGTGAAAGAAAGACGGTATACAGTCTTCTGAGCAGCACTGTAGCATAGGAGACAGAGAGACTGTATGTGTGGTGTAGCAGCTACACTGTCAGAGTAGGACTGTGGGAAACCCTGAACCAAATCCTCACTCTGTCTTGAAGCTCCCTGGATGACCTTGGACTGCTCACCTCCATCATCTTATCCCACCTTTCAGGGCTGTCATGAGGGAAACATTAGGAAGAGAACCATGTATGTCAACCTGAGTTCCTTGTAGAAAGGGTGGGATTCAATATAATTCTTGTGTTTAACCAAGGAGCTAATTATTTATTTAATTTTTCTTGAAGATCCAGGGGAACTGACCATGCAATCCTATGCAAAGTTACTCCACTTAACAAACTGAGATTTCAGTATCAATCGCAGGTCCAAGAGCTCTCTCAAATTATGCAATTTATCCCGGAGAAGTCCTATTTATAACAGGATGCTCTGCCTTCCTCTGGTCATCAGGACCTTGCTAAGTTGTTGCCTCTTGCAGCTGGCATTTAGAGGTATACTACCTCTAAACAAGAAGGTTCCGTTACACCACTGATGGATTTATTCCCACGAATCTGTCTAATCCCCATTTAAAGTCCTCTAAAGCTGCTGCCATCACCACATTCTGTGGCAGTGGATGCCACAAATTATTTATCTGCTGTGTGAAGAACTTTCTTTTGCCTATCCTGAACCCACCACCTGTCAACTTAAATGCATGTCCCCAAGTTCTAGTATTTTGGAAGAAAAAAGCTCTTTCTATTCACATTCTCCACACCATAGATACTTTTAAACCTCTATTAAGTCATCTCTTAGCTATCCCCCCATGTAAACTGAAAAGCCCCTGCTTTTCCATGTGAAGGCTCTAAGCCCTTGATTGTTTTAGTTACTGCTCTTTTGCACCTTTTCCAGTTCTGTGATATCTTTTTTGAGATGGAGTGTCTAAAACTATATACACAGTATTCCAAATGAGGCTGCACCATTCAAAGGCATGATATTACCCCTTTTATTTCCAGTCTTTCTCCTAATAATCCCTAACATAGAATCTGCCTTGTGTGCAGCTGCTGCACAGTCAGTGGTATTTTGCTTGCAATAGGCAGTTTCCTGATATAAGAAGGCTAATGCATATTGTTCTTTCTGTATCAGCATGTTGGCTTCCTGGTTCTCACATATTAACTACTGTTCAGCACTCCATACTACTCCCAAGTGTGAGAAGTTCCTAGGCAGCACTTAACAGAGTTGGTTCCCTTTAGAAGACAGAACACTGAAAACAGCATTTTGTAACACATGTAATACATGTCCTGCAGGGCCTGCAAGACAGAGCTCTTCCACCAGGCATTTGACTAAGGAGCTGCACCTAATAAACTTAAGACCCTGTGCCCTAATACCATCACCCACAGTCTGTGCTCCGCCGACACATGAACTGGACTGAGATGTCAGTCCCAACATCAAATGCTGACTGCACTTTTTACTGTCACTGATTGCTACTAAGGCCTCGTCACTGTTATTCAAACTGCCTACTAGCATGGGTTGTATATTCGTGTTTATATTTGCTCTGTTTTAAAACTTTTATGTAAGACGCCCTGAGCCTGCTCCAGCAGCGAGGGCGGGGTATAAATCAAATAAATAAAAATAAATAAAATTTCAAACTGGGGACTCAGCACCTGCACACTCAGCTTGCCAGCCCTGTAGCTTGCTGCGCTCGTGATATTTAAGGGTAGTTTGAATATTGAATGAGCAGTTCTGCCTCCTGCCAAAAGAGTTGCACAAAGATCGTCCTTTTTTTGGCGAACTGTATCAAAATGACATTTATAACAAATGTCATACCCTGCCTTTTTCCGCAATGGGGACCTAAAGCACCTAACACTATTCTCCTCTCCTCTGTTTTATCCTCACAGCAACAATCCTGTGTAAGGTATGTTAGGCTGAGAGGGTCTGAGTCACTTCACAAGCTCCCATGGTGTATTGGGGATTTGAAGCTAGGTCCCTTAGATCTTCATCTAGGATTGCCAGCTCTGGGTTAGGAAATACCTGGAGATCTTGAGGGTGGATCCAGGAGAGGGCAGGGTTTGAGGAGGGGAAGGAGCTCAGCAGGGTATAATGCCAAAGACTCCACCCTCCAAAGCAGCCATTTTTCTCCAGGGGAACTGATCTTGATCATCTGGAGATCAGTTGTAATAGCTGGAGATCTCCAGGTGCTACCTGGAAGTTGGCAACCCTATCCTAGTTAGACACTAACCACTACACCACACAGGCTGTGATAGGTCAGGAGCCCTGTTAAACCCAGTTTGTTTTGCACTAGAGGAGATATTTCCCACCTTCCCTGTCTGTGCTGCCTGCCCTTCCTGGCTTATTGAGAGTAGACCTTTGCTTCCATTGCAAATAGCAGAGAGATGTTCAGGAGCTAATCTTTGCCAGATGTTCCAGTTTCCTTCATTTGTGGCACTGCATGGTCCACCATCATCCTAAAGTCAGTGGCCAGCTTTGGGACTCTTAGCTTCAAATAACAAAGAACATAAGAGAAGCTGTGCTGGATCAGACTAATGGCCCATCCAGTACAACACTCTGTGTCACACAGTGGCCAAAACCCAGGTGTCATCGGTCCACCAGTGGAGCCAGAACTCCAGAAGCCCTCCCACTGTTGTCTCCCGAGCACCAAGAATACAGAGCGTCACTTGCCCCAGACAGAGTGTTCCACCTATACCTTGTGACTAATAGCCACTGATGGACCTCTGTTCCATATGTTTATCCAGTCCCCTCTTGAAGTGATCTGTTCTTGTAGCTGTCACCACTTCCTGCGGCAGTGAATTCCATATGTTAATTCCTCTTTGGGTGAAGAAGTACTTCCTTTTATTTGTTCTAAACCTACTGCTCATCAATTTCATTGAGTGCCCACGAGTTCTTGTATTGTGAGAAAGGGAGAAAAGTACTGGACCTAGTACCAAGCCCTGCGGTACCCCACTGCTTACCACCTTCCACTGTGAAAACTGTCCATTTATACTCACTCTCTGTTTCGTGTTAATTAACCAGTTTTTAATCAACAAGAGGACGGCTGAGTTTACTTAGGAGCAATGCTCCCTCTAAACTGTGGAGTCTTGTGAGCAAAAATTCTACTTTGAGAGCTACTGGCATTAAAGTTGTGAGTGATGTGGCTACTGCAGAAATTAGTTTGCTCTGGAGCCATCCTTCCTGAGCTAAGACAAAAATCTGTGAGCTGGAGGCTAAAAAGCTATGAGCTAGCTCACACTAACTCAGCTTGGAGGGAACACTGCTTAGGAGCCTTTGATGAGGAACTTTATCACAAGCTTTCTGGAATTCTATGTAAACAACATCTGTTGGGTCACCCTTGTCCACATGCTTGTTCACCCCCTTAAAGAGCTCTAAAAGGTTAGTGAGATAAGGTCTTCCCTTACAGAATACTGATTCTTCCTCTGTAGCTTTTTGTTCATCAGTGTGCCTACTAATTCTGTCTTTAGTAATGGATTCCTCATTAGCTTCCATTGTAAATAATATGGAGGTGGTCAGTTTCTCAAGATAATGTTAACCAGGCTGTTCTGATTCCCTTGGTTCCACCATCATCCTCAGTGATCAATTTTCAAATGCCTAGTTTATTTATTCCTGCCAGAGCCAGCCATGACATCCAATGCCTAAAGCAGGGGTCCTCAAACTTTTTAAACAGGGGGCCAGTTCACTGTCCCTCAGACCGTTGGAGGGCCGGACTATAGTTTTTTTAAAAACTATGAACAAATTCCTATGCACACTGCACATATCTTATTTTGAAGTAAAAAAACAAAACGGGAACAAATACAATATTTAAAATGAAGAACAAGTAAAGTTAAATCAACAAACTTACCAGTATTTCAATGGGAACTATGGGCCTGCTTTTGGCTAATGAGGTGGTCAATTTCCGGTTCCATATTTGTCACTGCTAGTCGTAACAAGTGATGCAAGTGTGCATCAGTGGAGTCTTGTGAGCTCCTGGCATTAAAACTGTGAGCGAGGGATCCCTCCAAAAATGTCCCTCCCCACCACCGCAGTGTGAAGCCAGGCCTCCAGGGCCCGGCATGTGGGAAGCAGGCTTGGCGGCAGCCGAGCGGGGGGCGAGTGAAGCCCCGCCACGGCTTGATTTCAAAAGGGAAAGCCCCGCAATACAGACACACTTCCCTCCAGCGA